GTGCTTCCCGCAGGGGCAGAGGGCGCGCGGGGCGGGGCGGTGGGAGGGGACGCGGGGGACGCTGCTGGCGTTTGCGATGTTCGCGATGCTTGCTGGCTGGCTTTCTCTTTTCTCTTTTCTCTTTTCTTAGTAATGCTTTATTTCTTAAGTTGAGTGGTGGGTACTGGATTTCTTATTTTTGGCGGCTTCTCCTAATGTCTGAAACACTTTAATTTTTTGAAGGGCCGCTGGAGAGCCTGCGTGTTTCTGCATACATGTGAACTATGTGTTTTTCATGCAGTCAGCTGAGCAAGTTGCAAGAAGTGTCCCTGAGGAGCTGCGCAGTAAACGGTGCTGGGGACCGAGGAGGAATTGCGGCCGCCTGCCCTAGTATCCTTTCCGATGAGGGCTTGTCACTGGGGCCTGACTGGGTGTGACACTTGGGCCAGGCATCCCTGGTCGCCTCCACAGTGCCTGCTCTCCAGACTGCTTCCTCACGGGGACTTGCTGTCCCCCGGGTAGTCGCCGCCCAGCTAAGTGATTGCCTTCCCGGACCCCCTGCTTTCAGGTGAGGCCGTGCGACTCGCCCTGGCCAGTGAGATGTCAAGTGGGCGCTTCGAGGGGGACAGAGGTGGCGGGCGCGCGCCCTGTCCACTGCCTTTCCACCCCCTGCCTGGAGCACAGACGGTGTGCGCGGGGCTCAGCAGACGACCTGTGGGAAGCAAGCTGCCCGGGAGGGACTGGGGCGCCAGGATGGGGGCGCCGGCGTCCTGGATGGTCCCTGGGCTCCCGTCCGTACGGCGGAAAGCGGTTTGTTATGGTCCCTCAAAGCAGGCCTTCTTACCTGCGCCTTCTCTCATCAGCGTGTTTTTTGGTTTTTGCTGTCTATGTAGTCTTATGCCCACAGCTAAAAATAGAGGTGGTAAGTTTAAAAGAAAAAATTCCCAATACACTTGCCCCATTTTGTAGTCTGGTGGAACACGATTCATTCAAGTGCTTCTTGGTTCTGTGTCTCCTGGGCTGCAGTCCTAAGAAAGCCCAAAAAACCAGTGGCAAATCAGATAAACTTTTTCTAATTTTATTATTTATTTATTTATTTAGGGCTCTTTTCAGTTTATTGCATGAAGGAGTTACACTAGTCCAAGTTAAAAGCAGACCCCAAATGGTTATATTATACAGGCTGTGAGGTTTTTAAACTTGTAACAAGGGACAGAAGGGAAAATCTACTCATTGCAAGGAAATCTTCACTTAAGCTTCAGTGAGCCAAAGGCACTTAAAACGCATGAACCTTCAGCTGGTCGTCCTTAGTCAGTCGAGTCTCTGCAAGGAACTGCCATATGTTCTTGTGCTGGTCACCCTTCTCCATACTCTGGATGCTCGATTACAGTACCACTGCAGGCAAGTTTCTTCTTAAACGCCTTCACTAGTTTGCTTTTATCGTAATCATCAGCGATCCCTTGGACAGTGTTAAGGGTTTTCCTGCTGTTTCTCTGTTGAGTTCTCATATGGGTATAATCTTCAGTGCCAGCAGGAAGCAGATCCTCACCCATACTTGCATCAGCAAAGGGGTCAAAAGAGTGGAGTTCTGGATGGCGGACATGCAGTACAATTCCTCTTTCTCGGTGGAAACGGCCTGCGGAAGGTGGGCGGGGGGGACGGGGTGTCAGGGCGGGAGAGGGCTTGCGGGGGAGTCCTTGGCGGTGGCTCAGTGACTGGGGCAAACTTTCTCTGACTTTAAAAGATCATCTTCCAGTTCCTTAAATTGACCTAGTCTCTACATAATAATTTATGCAAAAGATAGCTTATAATCAGGTTTCTCGGGTGAAGACAGTATTTCTAACCACCTTGACAGTTACTCCTTTGTGGTGACAGGGACTAGAGCAGAGATGCCGGTCCCTTGGGCCTTGGGGGGGGGGGTGTCTGTTGGGACCTATCTGTGAACAGCCCCCTCCCCACCTTGGCCCCAGATGTGCGTTTCCTCTGCAGGAGAGGCGGCCAAGTCGAGGGTGTTGAGGTGGGTTTGGAATCGAGCCTGGTCAGGAGCAGAGTGCCCCAGAGCCTTCAGGAGCATTCTGTGCTCTGGCTGCCTCCTCAGTGATGTCAGAAGATTGGAAATTGGGCCGGTTCAAAGCTGATTTCCCACACACCGGGAGCGATGTGGTCAGCAGAGGGCTTTGGGAACTCGGCCGTGTGGCTGGTGGAGTTGTCAGCAGTGCTGGTTCAGCCTGTTCTTGCCGGGGAAGAGCGTCCCCCAAGACTTGAAGAAATGGGGTTTCGGGAGATAATCAAGTAGTGGTGGATATTGCAGACCCAGTGACGAATGTCTCGCGCTTCCTGACTGAATTCTTGCCCGAAGTTGAAGTGCTGCCTGTGTATTTAATCCGGTCACCTTTTTGGGGCTCATCTCTCTTGGAGGTCATTGCTTTCGCGGGGACTGAAGTCAGTGCGCGTGCAGCCGACCTCAGCGGGTCACGTCGGGTCTGAGGGCTCAGATCGGGAGCAGCTGCTTCACCAGTTGGCTCTGAACTTCAGGTGGGCACGTGCCCACCGGCGCAAGAACTCCCTGGACTGCGTGTGTGTCGGGGGGGCACTGCATTCGCAGCTGCCGGGTGGTTCCGCGTGGACGTCAGGCGGCGGTGGTCCCTGCGCTCCGTGCGGACCAGTAGAAATGTGTGTGATTCCAGCCTCCGCAGTGGAGGGCGTGAGTGAGTGGACTTAAACCGTTTCGAGACCGGGTGGCCCCGGGTGAGCAGGGCTG